ATTAGAACAAGCTATATGATTGGCACGCAGCGGTTTATAGTTATTAGAACAAGCTATATGATTGGCACGCAGCGGTTTATAGTTATTAGAACAAGCTATATGATTGGCACACTGCGGTTTATAGTTATTAGAACAAGCTATATGATTGGCACGCAGCGGTTTATAGTTATTAGAACAAGCAATTTGCCTCTACACAAATTTAAGAATGGAAAGGTTTAGACTAAATTCAAATCACATATTTTACAAATGCCGAAATATTGGAAATACAAATGGGCCTAAAATTGTTATAAGAATGGGATAAAACTATCAACAACAACAGAACATATTGCTGTGACCAAAAGTTTCTTGACATCCTGTGCTACTTGCCCACCACCCCTCCGTTAATATTGTTCATTTGTTTTTGAATTTCGCGCAAAGCTACACGAGGGCTATCTGCGCTAGCCGTCCCTAATTTAGCAGTATAAGACTAGAGGAAAGGCAGCTAGTCATCACCACCCACCGCCAACTCTTGGGCTACTCTTTTACCAACGAATAGTGGGATTGACCGTCACGTTATAACGCCCCCACGGCTGAAAGGGCGAGCGAGCATGTTTGGTGGGACGGGTATTCGAACCTGCGACCCTCAGATTGCCAGTTTCCACTCTTAGCCCATCTAAACATTGAAAACACTTGTTCTAGTATTTTTATACCCCACTTGATTGCCCATGCCAATTTCTAATTTGTAAATTTCTCCACCAATTTCAATGCACCCTCTATCCTGATGCTGTAAATAAGCACTTCATTCAGATAATTTAATCACTTTTTCTCGTTGAAGCATTCGGCACGAGTTTCTATAAACAGGAGTGTTGTGTTTATACACAACTTATGTTGCTACATTGAACGTAATTTACGGTTGTATCTTCGTATATTTATAAATCATTTTAATTATAATAATAATAACGTACCAACAAGTGTGAAATCCCGAGTTAACGTTTCTACTATGGAGGATATTAACACGTCTTTCCTTCAATCTCTGTTATCGGATGTTTGTCAACGGCCGGGAGAGGGGCCATTCTCAGTCGAGGCTGTCCATGATATGATCAGTTGCAAAATGGACACACATATTCGGACCGCGGGTGTCTCTCTGAAGGGTTCTGAGGCGCCTTTTGTAAATGACCTGCACCAGCTGGGGAGAATTTAGACTCGTTTTTTCTAGGTTCTTCTTTTACTGGGTCGGCCTCAGGGGGTCTTTTTGATCAGCCACCTCCAGCCCCTATTTCTTCAGTTGGTTACTCGGGTTGGTGAGGATTTGGGAGACTCTACCTTTTACTTGTTGGCAGAAAGGACAAGAAGTGGCTACTTAATTTTTCCTTCTCTTGATATTGCTGTCAGGGTTGGGAAATTTGCCGCTTAGTTACGCGACGGGATAGCTGTGCCTTGTCCCCCACGTTTATCAGAACAGAATGCTTTGGATTATCACCATCAATAGGAGGTATATATAGATTCTCAACGAGTGGACTCCATTTTGGTAGAGGTTTCGATTGGAACTTGTGATCGCTTTAAATAGATCACAGTTCTCGGATTCGTCTTACTCTCACGACTGTCCTTAGGTATTTATTTTCGATCTAACTTTTGTTGGAAGCCTATCAATGTTTCCTCCTCAATTTGGGATTTTACTGACGTCAGATTGGCTTTCTATTCTCTCTCTGGTTTCCTGGCATTTTGTTGTTGAGATCTGTTGTGGTTTTCCTGGCATGTTTGTTGTTGAGGTATATGGTGGTTTTCCTGGAATGTTTGTTGTTGAGATATATTGTGGTTTTCCTGGCATGTTTGTTGCTGAGACATATTGTGGTTTCACTGGCATGTTTGTTATTGATATATATTGTGATTTTCCTCGCATGTTTGTTGTTGAGGTATATTGTGGTACAGATCCTTTGTTGGAAGGTGTTTGTTTACCGTTTTCTGCCTTCAGGGACTTACTGGAAGATCTCTGTCCCATGTTATTTACTGGAGTTCCAGAAACCTTAAAATAAAGCTTGTTTACTTTCTTCTTTATCGTCGTTGGCTTCTCGTCTTTCAGGCGCTAATTTGGGAGTGTTGGCTCTTGGTTTCGCTTAATCCCCTCCTTATGTACCTAGGTCTATTGGTTCCCACAATTGAGTCTGTCCGTATTCTCGAAGATTTCGGCTCGAACGGACCGTCTACAACAGCACTGATATCTCCCCCGTGGGCGAGGGAGCAGTGGGAGCACGTTTCAATCACTCTCTGGACGTATGGAGTTTTTCACCAGGGATCCATGGGTAGTCCATGTTCTGGATTCAGGATTGATCATTCAATTTACATCCCCCACCTCTATCTGCACAACTTGTTGTCTTGCCACCTCTGTCATATTCACGATGGGTGGAGCTGTGTTCCAGGGCTATAAGAG